CTTTATTTTCCATCTGGAACCAGATATTACTACTTCCTTCTCTATGTTAACTACCATTTCTTACTCCATATGGAACTAGAGTTTACCACTTCTTACTCCATGTGGAACTAGAATTTACCTTCCACTTCTTACTAAATGTGGAACTAGAGATTGCCTACCACTTCTTACTTCATGTGGAACTAGAGGTTACCACTTCTTACTCCATGTGGAACTAGAGATTACCACTTCTTATCAACGTGGAACTAGAAATTACCACTTCTTACTCCATGCGGAACTAGAAATTACCTACTACTTCTTACTATATGTGGGACAAGAGATTACCTACCACTTCATACTCTCTGTTGAACTAAAGACTACCACTTCTTATTCCATGTGGAACTAGAGATTACCACTTCTTATTCCATGTGGAACTAGAGATTACCACTTCTTACTCCATGTGGAACTAGAGATTACCATTTCCTACTCCATATGAAACTGGAGATTACCTACCACTTCTTACTCCATGTGGGACTAGAAATTACCACTTCTTACTCCATGCGGAACTAGAGATCACCACTTCATACTGGAGATTAACTACCATTTCCTACTTCACATGGAACTAGAGTTTACCACTGCTTACTCTATGTAGAACAAGAGATTACCACTTCTTACTCCATGTTTAACTAGAGATTACCACTTCTTACTCCATATGGAAATAGATATTACCACTTCTTTCTCCATGTGGAACTAGAGATTACCACTTCTTACTCCATGTAGAACTAGAGATCACCACTTTATACTGGGGATTAACTACTATTCCCTACTCCATATTGAACTAGACTTTACCACTTCTAACTCCATGTGGAACTTGAGATTAACTACCACTTATTACTCCATGTGGAACTTGAGATTACCTACCACTCCTTATTTCATGTGGAACTAGAGATTACTACTTCTAACTCCATGTGGAACTAGAAATTACCTACTACTTCTTACTCTATGTGGAACAAGAGATTACCTACCACTTCATACTCTCTGTTGAACTAAAGACTACCACTTCTTATTCCATGTGGAACTATAGATTACCACTTCTTACTCCATGTGGAACTAGAGATTACCATTTCCTACTCCATATGGAACTGGAGATTACCTACCACTTCTTACTCCATGTGGGACTAGAAATTACCACTTCTT